TCCTGTATTATAGATCCTTGAAAAAGAAGACATCTTCATTCTTGGGGGATGAGAAAAGGGCTGCATCACAGATGTCCACGAGAGTCTTCCTTTGGACTCAGAATGGAAGGCTCTGCCCCCCAGTGGGCTCGTGATTCTCAAGGCTTCCATACTAAGTTTCTCTGGAATCTTCCTCAGCTTCCTGTCTCCCGATGCGGCGCTTCCTTCCAGCCCATGCACTGCCTGGATTGCTGCTGCTTCTCTGCATTTTGCAGTTCATCAACAAGCAGACCAGGAAATCCCAAAAAAAGCCCTGAGGAAGTTGGGAGGTGACGGAGAAGAGGTGAGAAAGGAAGTTCTTTTTATCTCTCCTTTCTTTCCCTTTAGCTCTCCACTTCTAAACAAAACACCTTCAACAGCCTAAGCTCCTAACGATTGCCTCGTTAGACATTTCTTAAGGAGTGTCCAGGTCTCACATCATTTTCCTCATAAGTCATACAGGTCATTGTAAGCTTACTGATGCCTGGTGTTTCTTAAGATGCTTTCTATTTGTTTAGCACCATCACTTCCATTGTTTCATCTACTGACTGAATTTCTCAATTAATCAATCAGTGAAAGAAAAGCAAGTTGAAAACCTGGCTTCTAGGACTATGGAAGAAGCAGCAGCATGAAATAAGGCGAAGAGCTCAGGAGAAACAAAGACTGAAGTTTATAAAAGCAGCTCTCAGTTCTGTTTAGCTGGAGAGTAGATCGCAGTATATCACAAAAAAGAACAGAAGAGGGGATGGTAGAGAACTTTAGGAAGCCTCTGACAGTGTCCCCATACCTGAGGTACCTTCACCATCCTGGCAAGCAGTTGTCAGGCATTGAGGCTCCCTCTTGGAGTCCTTCTGTGCCGTCACTGCTGAAGCTCCCTGCCTCACTGAGGCAATGCTGCCTGTCTTCTTCCTTCCTGCACTGCTGCTGGGAGTGGGGAGAAGATAGGCCTGTAGGACTCCAGCCCTTCACCTCCAAAACCTTTGCTTCCATAGGCACCAGTAATGATCCTTCTACATGACTACTTCCCATTCCCTTCCATATAGCTTGTAGGGGACAAGTGTTCACAGCATTCTATCTAGAAACCTCATGTGCACATGGTGATTTGAAAGTTAGGTGAAGTGTGGTTCAAAGAACTTTTAAGTATTTCTGTGTAGAAAATAGCAGTACTACTCAGAAACAGATAGCAAAGGATTAAGACCTAACCTGTAAGAAATTGACCCCTGATGGAGAATCCTCATCTTATTAGATTGAAAGTAGGTTCTGTGTTTTCTGGGTTTTCCCCCTGAGAAGGTGTCCCAAAGTGAAGTTTGCATAGTACATGTGTAGAAAGAGTCCATATTGAGCAGTGACATGTGAACTTTTAAAGTGACTTATGTAAATGTTTTGATTTACAGCTGTTGGTCTCTCTTTTCTTCTTTTCCCTCATGGGCCTTCTCTCCTCGTATTTGGTACCAAATGTAAGTTAACTCTTCTCAGTCTGAACTTGTTCTGAAAAAGTGGTATGTGAATATGTAAGGTGAGTCCAGCGGGCAGCCTTCTTCCAATGTGAATCAGCAGAGACAGGGCCAAGGGCAACCATCGTCAAGAGATAGGAAGACCAAAATCTTTTATTTCACTTGAGGAAGGTCTCAGGTATGGCCTGGAAGGGTGGCTTAGGCTTTATCCTTTGAGAAGGCAGCAGGATTATAGTTAGGGGAAGACTATACCTTCCATTCTCTGACCTGGTATGCCAGGGTAGATTATCTAGGCCTTTGTCCCTTCCCTCACCCAAAAGGAGTCTGGACATCCACATGGAGTCCTGTATGGGATCCCAGCCGTAGGACTCGAGCAGAAATGGAAAAAAGAGTGCAGGATACTTCCCAGTTTGGTTATTTCAGTTGCCTTTCCCCTGAATGCGATGGGAACTTTAAACAGTTGAGTTTCATCCAAGTGAGAAATCTCAACATTAAATGGAGAACACTGCTAATATTTTACAATGGCCTAGCACCTACCTTTTTAGGAATTTTTAATCCTTTGCATATTGCTAAGTGAGGCAGCATGATAAGGAAATAACACTCACAGATTTGGAGTCAGAGCACCTATGTCCAGATCCTGTCCCTGTGACTTAACCAGTGTGACCTAGGGCAAGTCACCTAACCTCGCTGGTCCTTAGTTTCCTCCTCTGTAAAATGGGGTGGTTGAATCTGATGGCCTGTAAAGGGCCCTTTCTACTTTAAATCTGTGGTAACTTACTTGACTCCCTAATATCCACAGAAGGCAGCATTTCATGACACCTACAATTCATCTTATTTTGCAAATGAGGAAACTAAAGCAAGAAGCACTGCTAAAATCAAATTCAGGACTATGCCTAACCACTGTAGTGTGAAGTTTATAGTGTCACTTTTTGTCAAAAAACAAAACAGGATGGAATGAATTCCCTGAAATCTTTAGATGTCTGTGCAGAGGTCCTTGGATGTTTGGAGAAAAGAAAAATATCTTGGTTGGTTCTCTTTCAGTTGACAAAGAAGGGTGAGTAAAAAAGAGAAAATACATGTGACTTAACACTAAGACCCAGCTAGTGATGAGATCTTGGCTCTCCAAATCCAAATCCCCCCAAATCCTATACATTTGTCCTAATGGCTTTCATGATACCACCTGTAACGATATTTCATTCTAAAAGTCACTGTCTCCCATCTTGCATTAACTTGCCCGTGATCTTTTTGAGTTAGTTATCAAATGGTTCTGTTCTGCTTAAAAAAGTCTTTACCTGCTAAGGCTTGACAAACTTGCTAGATTAACAGAAAATAAACTCCCCCAAAGTAACTCATCCTCAAGGGAAATAATGTGTCTCCCATTATTATGTTATGTTGGCAAGAATATTTCAGGCCCTAGGCATAAGCTAGTCTTTTCTCTCTTGGCATTACAGAAAATGCATCAAATGGAAGGTGTCAAATTTTTCTGCAGTTGGCCTCAGACCAGTACATCAGGCTGTTGCCTTTCGCCTTCTACAGGTAACAATTCAGAATGGCGCCTGGAGGAAGGAGGGTTTAGGGGCTGAGGACCACTCTAGCCTTAAAGTTTGGAACTGTAGCGTTGCCATGTTCTTTGGAAACAAAACAACACAATTCAGACCAGCTCTCATGTGTGAGGAAAAGGGACTACGAGCATCTCCATGATGCCCTACCAGTTAGGATTTGATCACACATTTTGACTTAAGTAGAGAATTTTACACAAGTGCTACAAAAACACTTACCTGTGGTTTTATTCTTAATAGGCAAATGACTTCATCCATACCTTCTCCCATTGTGACAGAGTTTCTAATCTGTTATCTCCTACCCTACCCTTTGTCTTTTCCCCATTAGCCTTGTTGCCTACTTTGATGAAGATCTCTTTAATAGAGAGCAAGCCTTCCTATATGTTGCTGTTGACATGTACCTAAAGTTAGTCCAGCTTTTTGTAGCAGGAGAGACCAGTGTGATTTCAGCCAAAACTCACTTAAGCCAAGAGCACAGCAAACAGGTAAGTGTCCCAGATCAGATGTACAAAATTCTAAAATTGGTTTGTTATAACTAGTTAAATATCCCTCTTGTCTAAGGAGTGTTATTTAACAGTAACAAATTAGCTGAAAGGAAGGGTGACTCTCAGCTAGTTTTTAAATTATAAACATGAAATTATAAATCAACATGTATGCATAAAATGAAGCTAGTTATAACTTACATGTTTCACTCACTTTTTAAAATAAAACCTAAAACAAGTTCATACCCTTCATTTCTGTCTGACACATTCCCTAGGTGGATCCTTTAGGACTGATAACAAAAGCTCGTCTGTTTCTGCTTCACTCAATACCACGGTGTCCAAAGAGAAGCTTTTCGTGCATAATGGAGGTAACATCAAGATTTTCACTTGTGGTTTCTATCCAAGCTCAGACATAAAGCTGTTGAGGTTTCATTCTTAGGCATTAGCCCCATTCTCTCACACTCTACCCCTCCAGATTGTTAGCTGAAGCTGTCAGCATTCTCTGTTGAACTTGATCCTACAGGGGGGTTAGTTACCAAGCAAGAAAGTAAAGTGCCTTGGGCATCTTTGCTCCAAACAGTGCTACTTTTATCACGTGATAAGTATTCAAGGTATTAACCTGCAAATGCCATTAGACTGGAGACCAAGCTGTTGATAGGCTTGGGTTCTGCTGTTTGGCTTTGATAGATAAAACAAGTGTTTAAAGGGTACTCTCACCAGGAAGCCTGTGCCCTTGGGTTTAGCTAGCAAAGTGCTATAGGATGGGCTGGCAAGCAACTGCAGCCCACAAAGTATGTGTTTTCTCACAGCTGTTGGCCACCTGTGAAGAGTTGGACCCAGAGGTGAAAGCTGCCCTCCTGAGTAGCCAGCAGTCCCCTGAAGATGCTGACTTATATGGTGAACCGCTTCTCTTCTGAAGGATGGCTGTGCTGGGAGTGCCTTGTCCCAAGGATGGCTTTTGTTGGTACAGCAATTTGGCTGTGGTTCCTGAGCAGTTTTAAACTGAGGAATAGAAAGAAGACCACTTTCTTGCTGGACAGAGGCAGCAGAATACCACTGTTCATCAGCCCAGGCTACTTTGTAAATAATTTATTACAAGCATAACCATGGAGCTCTTGTTACACTAAAAAGTGGATTACAAATACCTTCGGTTGCTTTGAGGCAGGGGTAATCAATTATTTAAAATCTGAGCCTGGTTCCAAGTCACTCACTTTCTCAGGGGAAATGAACCTCTTGCCCTGCAGAAGAACAGCTACAGTACAGACTTGAGGGGCTGTTCCATGACCGAGAATGTGAGGACCAATCCACAGGGGAAAGCAGATGTATACATACCTGTCCATACCCTCAGAGTGATTCTGTTCCATTTAAACCCTGCTGCATTGGACATATGCACAGGCAGAAAAAAAAAAAAATTTAAAGCATGGTTATCTTTGTGTTGGAGCAAGCTGAAACTATTGCCATTGAGTCCAGTTGAGTTGGAGAAACTATTAAAATTTTTGTTAAAAACTCTATTTGATCATTTGATTTGTACAAGGATGAATGACTACCCACACTGAACCTTTCCAGGCTTTCAGGTGGGTTCCTGTTGTGCAACCAGTTCAGGTTTGACAGCCTGACTTTCCATCGTCCCTGAGGGGTTCATTAGACCAGTTGGCTGCTCGCTCTGCAGTGGTTTGGCTTTGTCCTGGTTCTGGGTCAGTGGATGTACCATGGACATGTGGACGTTCAGGTTGTGAGCCTTCTCAAACCGCCGGCCACACTGGTCACAGGCAAATTCCAGCTCTGTCTCAGCTTTGTGTTTGGTCATGTGGTACTTCAGAGATGCTCGCTGCCTGCACTGGAACCCACAGATTTCACATCTGAGAGACAGAGAGAGAGTGAAGGACAGGCCCGATGTGGGATCTGAACTGCCATTTACAAACTATTCAGACTCACCAGCTCTTGAAAACAGATTTAATTTAACTAGAAACTTCTTAGGAAAAAAAAAACTACCATTAAATTAGCAGCTGTATGTATAAAGACGTAATAGAAGTAAATGCATGAGAGAAAAAAAGCATCTTTCAAATCATCACTCATTTGCTCTCACTGCAAGAAGGGGAAATAAAAGACAAGATCCATCCCTTTTTCCCCTTAACTAAAAACAACAACATCCTAAAACCAAGTCTTTCATTACAACTGCCCAAGCCACACTTACTGAAGGGGCTTTGCTCCTGAGTGACGCATCTGGTGAACTGAAAGGTGCTTCCGCTGTTTGAACGTCTGTCCACATTCATCACAGATGTAATTCCGTACCTCTGCAATGCCCCCAAAAAAGTGAGATTCAAATTCAATTCCTCCTTCACAGTGTCTAAATATAACCAACAAGGGAAGGCAAACTGATCCAGATTGTCTGTTTTCATGCTAATTTCTATTTCCAAGGAAGATGGTCAAGAGAAGAGGAAAAAGAAATATTAATGTCTGCTTCAGAAGCACCAGGCAAATAGCCACATGGTTAGAGAGTGTTTCTGCCTGGGGCTTTTCAGGGTAAATAAAAACTTTACTATTTAGGCAAGTGTGTTGGGTGGAAAGGGAGGGATATAGCTTCAATTATGAATTTTACATTATAGAAGTAAACATCAAAAAAAAAAGCTAAGTTAAGGAAATGTTACCAAATGAAGGTTGCCAGCTCTTTTTCTGGGGGGTTAATAAAATTATCTGCTAATCATGCTTGTTGGAAGAGTTGTTTAAAAATAATTTCTCTTTAGGTAAACATTCCCTCTGCAGTCACGTTTATTCTGTTTGTTTAGCTAGCCTGTTTTTGCTGAAGTAAAGGAAAATGCACTAGGAGCCTGGCCTTTGACATCTGTGCCTGTCACCTGAGAGCCTTCCGGGCTCCTCAGAGAGGCTCATCAGCAGGGTGGCCATGGGGTGGTGCAACTCTGAAGATGATAATAAGAACAACACAAGCGTTCCCATCCCAGTTCAAGGTTTTTTCTTTATGCTCACAACAGCCCAACCTGGCAGGGAAGTGCTATTGTTGTCCCTGTTTTATAGATGAGGAAGCTGAGTCAGATAGTTACTACCACATCATGCAGGGTTTATGCTTTACTTAAGTGGAGGGAGTGTGTACACACACACACACACAATTTGTATTCTTGAATATTAGAGTAAAGATAAACTTCAGCTAAGCCCAAATTAGTGGGGACCATATATGAATGAGGTGAGAATTTTTTTTTAATATAAAGTTAACAATTGCTATTTTCTGAAACAATGAAAATCTCCCAACCCCTGAAAAAATTTTCCTTTGTGTCTCATAATTGTTAAGATCAAGGATATTCTTAGTCATGTATAGGTTAAATTAAGTTGAAAGGCCTCTGGGGTCCTTTCCATCTCAGAGATTGCGTTTCTGTTAGCTTGGGGAACACACTACATGGTATATGCAAGTGAACAAAAGAAAAGCTTTTCTTTAGCACGAATAAACAGTGTAAGTATAGTGCTCATCTTAATCATGAGCCTTAAACTTTTGATTCATAAAATACCAGGACCGTGTCCGAGTAAGATTAAGGAAGTAAAGTAGCCTTATGAACCCGTCTTCCAGGTGCATAAACATAACCCAGATTCTGATCAGCGGGCTTGACCTGCCAATGTCCTGCACTATGGATGTACCAAAGGAGACAAACCGGAAGGACACACGACAACCTCTAGAGCAGAGGTCAGCCTACCTGTGTGAATGAGCTTGACATGGCGCTGCAAATAGCGATCGATCATGAACACCTTGTTGCAGCCAGGGTGGGGGCAAGGCCTCTCTCGTACTTCCTCATGATGCTCCTTTATATGTTTCTATAAATGAGAAAAAGAGATAGGTGGATACCCTTAAAGTAGCCTTCTCCCCTCATAGGGGACTGTAGCCATCTTAAGCTCTACAGAAGAACCTGAGGACACTTTTGATCAGTAAGGACAAGGGCTTCTACGTCATCCCGATAACCCTTGCTCGAGAGCCCTCAAAAGAGATTAGTGAATAGAAGACACAAAACTATCTTTCCAGACAATAAGAGCAAAGTGATGCTGAACAGATTTTGGACCATGTGCTTGGACCACAGTTTTATTATTCTCTTCTTGGAAAGATAATATGACAAAAGACTTTCCCTGAAAGTCACTGTACTGCTCATACCCTTTGAGGGAAGGCAGCATTGGACATGGATTCAAATTTTGGTTTTAGCATCTAACTGGCTGTGTGACCATGGGCAGATCGCCTCTCCTCTGTGCTTCTCTTGAACAAATGAGAGTGTGTGTGTGTGTGTGTGTGTGTGTGTGTGTGTATGCTCATGTGCTCGTGTGACATGCACCTCTGTTCACCTGGCAATTAATGAAATCCTTTCTGAAATTTTGACTTGGAGCCTCAGTATTTAAACATGTTCCTAGAGTAATCTCTAACATTTCAAATAAGTCTTAATGAAATGAAAAATGATAACATCCTTCTCCTTTTAATGACCCAAACATGGGTATAGGATTATAGAATAGAGAATTAACAGGGGGACATATCTCAGATGGTGTAAAAAAAAAAAAAAACAACCCAGAAACTTGATATCTCAAATGAATTTCCGACCAAAAAAACCTAGAAGTTGTTGGTTGTGTCCATCCTATCATTTCTGACATGAATGCTAAAAACAAAGAAAGTGATTGCTATTCCAGCCCTATCTAGAATACTGGAAAAGCCCAGTTTTGTGGGTGTCATTTATAAGTGTCTTTAAAACCTGAAAAAGTCTTCATTCAATGAAGAGACCTTTCAACTGAGGAAGCACAGCTTTTATTTTAGTTGTACAATAAAGTACAAAATTCGAGCCTAAATGTTGAATTTGAATATTTGTGAGCTCTGAGTTTGTACCCCCACAAGAGAAGATAAACATTTTTTTCTGTGGACATAACTGGGCTTCAAAATCTCTCACATTGGTCTGTGCTTCACTCAAATCTACCGCTTGAGAAAAATCCATGAATCCAAAAGCCTCCTGATCCATGACTGCTTTTCTCTCCCTTCTCTGATCTGACCTTCAGACAGCTGCCAAACTGATATTCCTAAAACAGATCCCATCAAACCACTCTCCTCAGAAGACCTTCACTGGTTCCATCATACAACTAGGATCAAATGAAAAATCCTTAGCCTGATACTTAAAGCTCTCTACAACATGGCTCCCTCTCACCTAGCTTTCCAGGCTGGTTTCCTTCTATTCTGTCACATACTCTCCATTCTAGTCTGACCTGCTCACTCTTCTCTGTCAATGACATTTCATCTCCCATTTCCCTGCAGATGGTTCCCCATATCTAGAATGCACATCCGTCTTCACCTTTACTTCTCAAAATCTCTACATTCCTTCAAAAGAGGTGCTACTCCTTATATATACAAAGCCTCCGTAGTTATTAGTCTCTCTCTCTCTTTCTCTCTCCCCCCCCTTCTCCCTCTCCCCCTTGCATGCCCCAAAATATAGGCTCCTTCAAGGCAGGGGCTTTCATACTTGTCTCTGTATCTCCCAAGATAAGATTTATGAAGATCACAATTGACTATCATTCTACTTTCGAGCATCTCTGTTAAAGAAAATAAAAAGATTCCCCTACCCTGTACCTCCCAAGCTTTGCTCCCTGCCTTTTGCTCTTATATCCCTTGTATGTCATAGGCACTTAGTAATGCTTTGTAAACCTTAAATTGCTACATAAAAAATTTTTGTCTTAGTCCTAACCCGATTTTTTTTTTACCTGATTTCATTGGTAAGGAAATTCATACCAATGCAACTAATAGTATTAGAAACACTGAAAAGTTAAGTGGCTTGTCACACATACCCAAGGTATATCAGAAATAAGACTTGAACCCAGGTCTTCCTGACCCCAGGCCTGGCCCTCCATCCAGTACACCATGGCACCTCTTGATATTGTTACCTCACCACCTCCCCTCAAACTCAGGACTCTAAACCTAAGAACCTTGGGAATAGCTGCTTTTTCCAACCCAAGCCCACTTTCAACCCCACCAACTGCCACTTGGAGTCACAAAACCTAAAAGCCCTGAGTGTGGCAACGCGTCTCTCCCTCCAACCACTGGTCCTACTTCTGGCCCCACCCTCACAGCCATTATCCCCAAAAGTAACTCGGGGAGATGCAATATCCTTCTACAGATGCTATAGGTACAGGTACCAGAAGACCCAGAAAAGACAGTTGTCCCCCAAGCCTTTGGCCCTGTCAGTGGGTCCAGCCTCAGAAAATGATGGGATTCTAGCATTATTACCTTCTGCTTTGCCACTACATCCTAAGGACTATGGGACCTGCACCTGAAAGTGCCTGTATAGGTGGTCTCCTCTATTAGAAATATGAACTTCTTCCAGACAGCTAGGTGGCCCAGTGGATAGAGCACCGGCCCTGAAGTCAGGAGGACCTGAGTTGAAATCCGGCCTCAAACCAAACACTTGACACTTACTAGCTGTGTGACCCTGGGCAAGTCACTTAACCCTAATTGCCTCACTAAAAAATAAAAAAATAAAAAAAAAAGAAATATGAACTTTTTGAGAGCAAGAACCATCCTCCTTTTCTGTTAGTATCCCCAGCACTTAGCACTGAGCTTTACACGTAATAAGGGCTTAATAAATGCTTTTTCAGTCATTATTATTATTTGAACCAAGTGACCCTAAATACCCTAAGGAAGACAGACAGAAATACTACTGTACCACAGAAGATAGCAAATATGAGGAATTCAAGACTGCTAGGTCATATTGAGTTATCTCAATCTGCTTTTTTTTTTCATTTGAGTTTAATACAAATTTGTTCAGTACCTCTGTTCATAAACATACACACACACACACACACACACACACAGATATTTAGATAAAATGCTGATACCGATAGGTAATAAAGCACTTCCCTCATCCCTTCCCATTAATGCTGCTTTCAGTGTGAGTACAGACACTCTCAACCGTGCCTGTGCCATCTGTGAAACTGCTTCGGATCAAACTCCATTGTCAACTCAAAAGGCTAATTCTTGCCTTACCTTCATCCCATCTGCCCCTCTGTACACAGCTGTGCAGCCCTGGTAAGGACACTTATAAATGGTAGGCAGCTCTTCCCTGTAATTTAAAGTACCAGGAGTCAGAACTCTTCCCTGAAACTGGTAACAACTGTATCAGTGTTCCCTCTCCCTACCGACCTTTCACATTTGATCTTCTTCTTCCAACCAGGTTTGGGTCCTGGTTTCTTTCTAATTTTGGGTTCGTCTGACTTCTTAGCTTTGCTGTCACTCATCTTGCCAGAGACCCTGAATTAAAAATAAAAGACATTGATTTTTTTAACTAAGGGTAAAGTTTAATATCCTATTTCTGATTTCTGTGACCCATATTTTGCATGTATGGCATGTTGTGTTTTTACTTTCCTACTCATGTAGAAGGCTTTGCAGTTTTTTCTTTCTTGAACCATCACAGTTAAAAATAAGTGTCATGGGCATGCAGCTTCCAATATTCCTGGGATCCTAGCCTCTCAGAATCTCCAAATCTCATTTTTCAGGACCTCGTATTCTTCATTCACCAGAAGAATAGTTTGGTTCTCTCTAGGAAGGTAAATATGTATTATACCCCCTACCCCCAACCCACCTTATAACAGGATGCAGGAGTGAAAGGGGAAAGAGTGATCTAGTAAAACATTCAGTCTCTTCTTTTCTAGCTAACTAAAAATTCATACATTAAAGGGCCAAGACACTTTAGTACTTTTTGATGGAAATATTTCTAAAGTGCATGATACACTTCTCTGCCTTTTAAAATAGAAATACTGAACCTAAATTAACTGTTGCTTAATGATTCAGTATTATTGTCATAAAAGGCAGTTACTATAAAATGCATATCCTCAAGCTATTTAACTATATGGGACTAAAAATGTCCACACACCCCACCTCCACCCCTGCCCCAGACTGTTATGTTTTGGGAGTTCTTGATTTTAATTTTCGATGATTTATCTTTTCTGACCATCAGCTATTCATCTTTGTCGCTGTCCACTGGCCTACCTGCAGTAGCACCATTTAAAATTTTTTGGTACAAATCTGCTGTAAACTGGGAAAGCAGTTAATCGAGCATGTCAGAATTGTGTTTAGACTGACAGGGAGACTCTGAGAGGCTCTCCTTTTGGTAAAGTGCATAACTTTTAATACATGAACTCTGAGCTGTCCGCTTTTGTTCAGGAGACCTTTTTTTTGGCTTGCTTTCTAGTTCTCATCTATATTTTATATAATAGAGAGTGGCAGATAAGTAAAGATAAAGGGAGGGAAATTCCCAAAGGTCTAACTTCACAGAGATGTGAGAAAAACCCTTTATAACATTTATAGAAACATGATCTATTCTAGCCAAAAGATATTTTTAAAACTCACAAATTACCCCCGATACCTGTCATGTAAGGAATTCTTCAGCCTATTGCACACTTTCCAATGCGTCTCTGTGTGAATACCTGTCACCAGCTAGAGAACAGGGATGTGTCAATCAAATATTAATTGCCCATAAGGAGTCTTTGGGTTATACATTCCCCAAATTCGATGATGGCTTTCTTAATAGTAGTCCTAAAGCAGCTTTGGTGGAATATGAAATGATAATTGAAACCGTTTTTGGTGAATGCAGCTCTACCCTTTAAATGCCTACTCTTTGCATTTCCATGGACTTCCAATCATCCCTTAGTAATAACTGGTATATAATCAAAGGTAAATTAATCTCCATATTCCCAGTTTAGATATGGCAGGGGCATTAATAGACTCATTCCTTGTGAGAGTTCTTAACTGCCCCAACCCATAGACTCACTACATGGCAAGTCCCTGTAGACATTTTAATGCCATGATGCCACCTGTGTGCCATTTCTCTACTCCTTTACCCCCTTTCTACCTCTAGCTTTGGGAACAGTAATCAAATCAAATTCCTGGAAAGATCAAGTCAATTTAATTGTCCTTTGACTATTCACCTTCCTAGTCCAAAACATTCCTTCCCAGGAATACTACTACTTTTTTATTTATTATCTCCCCTTATTAGAATATAAGCTCCTTGAGGGAAGGGACTATATTTTTATATTTGTATCCCCAGCATCTGGCCCATAGTAAGCACATAATAAATGCTTTTTCTTTTTGTTCATTTATCTGTGGCATGAGAGAAACTGTAGGGGCTTTCTTCACAGAGCCATGCTGCCCAGAAAGACCCCAGGCTCATTCTTAGCAAACTGAATTTCAAGAGGCTTTAAGGGATCACACTGGGCAAAGAGTCTAAGCACTTTCTGGGGGAAGAAGATGCACATGCCAAAAACATTTTTCTGTTACTTTCTTCACCATATTCACGCCAGGATACCAATCTCTAGAATTATTCACTTAATACCATTCACTACCCAAAAATGTCCTTATAGACAAGAATGTATGGCCCTTACTTCTTTTCTGGATAAGGCTCAAAGGATTCATCAGATGACTGAGTGTTTCTCCTCTTTTCATTTTCATCATCACTCAAGAAGTCTCTGAAAAAGAAAAAAAGACCTTTTAACAAAGCATTGACTAAGCAGTGTAAGGCTTCAGCAGTATTAACTGTTCTTATCTGCAGGCCCTGGCCCTCACCCCTATCTTTTGTAATTTGCCTTTTCTTATCTCTTTATGGAAATATCTTAAAAGTTAAATACATTCCCTGTCAAAGTAAGTGAACAAACTATCATTAAGCTAAGCATGATTTTATATAACAGCTTTTAAGGATAACGAGACTCTTTAGGGTAGGTGGATTAGTAACTTGCCTTTCTCTCCTTTTCATGGGCCTAATTTAGATAACCAGTTTCCCATCTGTATGAGCTTTGTTATTTTAACACCTTAAAGCAACAGTGAAACTAAACCTCAGACCTTCACTCTAAAATATTTGTCCCTAATAAGTCTATTCATTAGCAAATTGTGTCTAAGTTAGAAGGAAATATGTCTCTCACAGAATCTCCCCCACTGCCCTGACTCATACTCCACTCAATAGACCCTTGAATCAGGTCCTGGTCACAGTACTAAGACCCTAAAGGAATTCCTATTTCTGTTCCCTTCTACCACTTAGGTACTAAAGCTACTCAATGAAGTCAAAATAAGATTTCCCCCCTCCCCTCTAGGGAACAAAGCTCCTTTCTAGTTCATATGTTACAATAATATTTGGGAGTTAGACAAAATTGGTAACTGGAAGGGAGTACCTGAGTGGTGATAACTAATGGTAAACAAATACCAAAAGTTAGAGCTGTTTTAACAACTCTTCAAACACTGGCCAAGCCAAAAAAAAACTGAATTGAAATTCAACTGAAAAGGGATTTTTTTTCTTTCAATACCACTGGAACTTAGGGCACTGACCCATCTCCAGGAGATTCTAAATTGGAAAGAGAGAAGCTCAGTCTGGGTTACAACTCTAGCCCATAATAAGCCACCATCAAAAACATGGTGTATTAGAATGAATGTTAGATCTGGACTTGAGTTTGAATGCTGGTTCTGCTTCCTTTATGACTTCCTAGCCAAGGGTAAAAAGTGGGACCCACTGAATTCTACTAGTCTTTATTTCCAGATCTCAATCCAGGAAGGCAGGGGCTCCTGAGAATGATTCTGGGCATTAAAAGTCTAAGATGACCAAGTTTAGTTTGTGAAGAAGAAATTTTAAGCTATTTAAACCCACTCTTCTCTCACCCCTCAGAAAGGTCACTGAACTCGTCTTTTACCCGATCATCCAAGGCTGAAGATGAAACCTGCTTCACACTCAATTGCCCTGAGAAATAAAGAAAAAGGCTCGTGTTACCAACATAAAATGGAACTGTAAGATCCAGCTCTGGAGTACTCTGCAACATGATTTGGTCAATAAATTTTTTTAAATTGCCACTTAGAAGGGAGGACGGTGTGTGAAATCATCAGCCACTGCTATGTGCCTGGGAGAAAGAATACTTGAATACAGTAGCTATTTCAGGCACAGTCAAGAACTCTTTCATACCAGTTTCCATAGGGCCTGCATTTTTCTATGACCTCAAAACCTGCTCTCTAGCCTCCTCCCCAAGATGCTGCTGCTAGCCAGACAGCTTCTCCCTTATACATGGCATCTTGTATTTGGAGCACTAAGTACAGTATCCTTGCCCCCATGTCATATAGGTCCAAGTTCTACCATTAAAGATAGCTCAAAGATACTATTAGATCCAGTCCCCTACATAACTGGTCTGTGTTCATTTCTGCTGGTCAGCTAAAAGAAAAAAGCCATGTATGATCTATCCCAAAGGAGTGTCACCAGGGCATGCTGCAGGAGGGGACAACACACCATCCCCAGGCAACCCACTCGCCATTACTGCATTCTCTCCCCACAGCCCATGGACAAGTAACTAACTCTTCTCTTTCCCCACAATCAACTTGTTCTATAAAAACAAGTCTGTGCTTTCTGTCTGCAGCACAGGGTGAATGGAAGGCTGGGTAGAATAGAAGTGAATCTTAAAAGGAAACCTGCTGAAACAAGGTCCTGTATATCAAATGACCAAAGGGAAAGACACCAGGCCGGATAACGGTGCCCTGCTTTCTCAGCAGCTTCCGTGGGAACAAAAAGTGCCTGACAGCCATTGCCCAGCTCCCCGGTGGAGGACAGAGATCCATGGACTGCTTCATCCACAATCTCACTACCGATGGCCACCTATGGAGTTGACTATGGTGGACACAGGGAGCTCAAGAACATTGCCAGCAACTTAGGGTGACCAGTGGCAGAGAGAGGATGTAAACACAGGCCTACGGGAGCGACCAGAATCGATGGAGCAACAATTAGCCAGCAACTGTGGTGGGCAGTCTGGCGTCACCTGCCTGAAAGGGAGTAGGGGGCATGAGCCGTGTTACCTTGGGCCCCACTCAGGGGCTGGCGAGGCTCTGGTGGTGAATCTGGCTCAGGCCCCACAGGGTTGGCGTCCAAAGGGGGCTGAACTTCATTTGTGCTGGGCAGCGACTGACTGTCTGTGCCAGCTGGCACCATGGTCCCTTTGCTCCTAGGACTCTGCAGAACAGCTGCAGGAGGCTTGGTTCCGCTGTTGATGGAGAGCCGACGGGCTGTCTCTCTGTCCCATTCCCATTTGACGGCCAGTGTGCTGTCGAGCAGCAGCGCGCTGCAGTTCGAGTCTGTATCCATGATGTAGTCATGGCCCTGGTCGCAGCCCCACACAGCCTGGATGATGCCACAGTACTCGGAAGAGAACATGTTCTGGAGGCTTGGCACTGCCCCGCAGCTCACTGCGTGCCCGTGGGCCCACCCCACCAATTGGTGCAGGCACTGGGGACTGGAGGTGATCAGGTCCACTGTGCAAAGTGAACAAAGACAGAAGAGCCCCCAGAGGTGGTTAGCATCCAATAGCAGGCATCAGACCAAACATCTCTATCATAGGAAACCAAAGATCCCAAGAAGCCAGGTGACATACTCACCCAGACAGGCTCCCTCCTCTGTCTCAGCCTGGGAGCCATCATCAGTGCCGCCCCTGCAAATGGAAGCAGCACCAGTCGGATATCACATGGGGATGCAGGGTGAGGGAGAAAAGATGGCACAAGCCAGTGAGCCCAGGCCTCTTGCCTACATACAACAGAGACCATGCCCTATCTGCAGTGGAATCTGACACTAAACAGCCCTGCCACCTCCTGGGCTGGGCATAGCCTAGGAACCCAACATGAGATGTGGTTCAGTGGCTACACTGCTGACTTGGGAGCTCTGTTCCTGCTGCCTTCAGCAACTGGCTGTGTGACTCAGGGCAACCTCAAAACAGCACCATTCAGCCCAACTCAACATCTTGGTACAAAAACAACCTACTTTCCTCGGGGCTTCCGGTGGCCTGTGGGGGACGTATTGACCCTCTGCAGGAAGGACTTGAGAATGCTGTGACACTTGTAGAACTGGGCGTGGCAGTTCTTACAGACAAACTGGGGGAGGGCTGGGTCCTGGTGAATGGGCACTCCGAGCAGGCGCTTGAAGTCCATGAAGAAGACCTGCTCCATCCGGCGCGGCTTCTCACAGCTCTCACCTGGCACCTGACCAAATATGTGGCGGAGACTCCGTGAGGAAAACTTCCCGTGACAGAGGCGGCAGTACCCCATGCTAAGAGGACGGCCTGGACCTGTGAAGAGAATGAGAAGAGGCAAATGGGACCCCAGCTAGGCTGAGGCATGAGCTCAGAGACTTCCATATCTCATTAGACTATGTGTGTTGGAAGAGAAGAGATTCCCAACACCCTTACATCCCAAATGCTGGTTCCCCAAGCTTGAAAGGGGGGAAATGACAATATTTATACCCACAACTCCATCAAACTCCAAATATTCCTGCCAAGCAAAGAGGCCCTCCCCAGCATCTTCACACACAAACAAACTTTAAACACTGACTAATGTGTCTGGGCAATAGTCAAAGCCATGCAGTTTGGCTCTGAGCCTGCATTTCCAGACTTGAAATGAGGACCTCCAGTGACTGACAATGATACCAGTACTTTATGGTACATAAAATATTAGAGCTGAAAGGGACCTTAGAGATGAATCCATCCAACATGCTCATTCTATGAATGAGGAAACTGAGGCCCAGACAGAAGTGACTGGTCCAAATTCCCAAAGGAAACAGTCAGCAGACCCGGGATTCAAACCGGGCTAATGACACCAAAGGCAACATTTTTTCCACCATGCCACATTGTCATTTCATAAGCAGTGCTGTTCAGACTCAAATCCATATCTGAATCTTAGTCTAATGCTGTTTTTACTTTACTGTGTATTTCTGGAGCACCTTTGAAAAAATTCCTGGTATTCTCCCATCAATAATTTCATTTCTTCTTAGAGTATCCCTACAAAGATAGAGGATGCTGCCCGGACACGTGTCTGAGGTCTGTCACTCCCTACCTGAATAGCTTAAGGTGGATAAGTTATCCTCCATATGCCTCAAGTTCCCCATCTGTCAAACAGGGATACCACCTATCCTACCCTACCTATCTCACAGAGTTCTTGGGAGGTTTAAATGAGAAGATGACTATGAAAGCTCTTTTAAAAATAACTGTCAAATATTAGGTCTACTCTTATTATTCCATCTTTTACAAATAGGGAAAATGAGACAGCAGTCAGATGAATAGTCAGAAGGCATACTATGATTGTCACAAAGGAGGGTACTATCAAACCTCACACCTAATGTTAAACCTTCCCATATCAATATTCATGGGCAACAACAAATAAGGCATATAGAAGCCAAAAATTTTCACGTAGGTGTTACTGAATGGCCAGTCACATCAGTCAGTTGATCAACATTTATTAAGTTGTTGCTATGTGCCAGGCACTGTGGTAAGTATTATGGATAGAAAAACTAAAAGGAATCAACCCCTTCCCTTGAGGAAGAGTACATCTATTTTCTTCATTCACCAATATGACCACGTGTGGTCTTGGAGCCTAAAGAGTTCTCTCTTATAGGAGAGAGCCTGGTCTGGGCTACTGTGGTTTTCAACCCTGTTCAGAAAAATAGCTAAATCACAATGTACAGAAGTATTATATGGTCCTTAGAAGATGGCACAAATTTTCTCAACAAGGCAATATTTTCAGCATCACTAAAGGTCTCTTATTTTATAGATGAGGAAAATGAGGCTATTGTTACTACCAGTTAGCAGTAAAGTTGGGACCAAAACCCTGGCACATCACTTCTAACTCCTAGAACTGTGCTCTTCATCATATAACATGTCTTTCTGGAGTATCTTCCACAGAATGAGAAGGCATTTCACACCCATTTTACAGAAACTCTCCTTCCCTGAATACCGTTCCCAGGTGGCAATTCCTGCTGCTGCTTCTGCTAGCAAGAGCAGCCCCTATGATCAGCCACAATCTGGGGAGGAGGAAAAAGACTATCTGGGGGATAAGGGAGGGTAGGAAGAGGAACAGAATCTGTCTCCTACTATTCATACCCAGAGACAAGACTATAGCCTTTAGACATGATTTAAAGAGGCACTTAAGAAGAATTCTCAAAACCCTCAAATATCGTTCCCCTCCCCCAAACCCTAAGAGAGGCAGGCTTAAGTAATACACACTCTGATGCTTTTAATGGCCATCTTTAACGGAGGTAAAGTATTAATATCAGGCAGCCTTCCTCCTATTTCCCACCCTTTCCCCCCAGTTAAACCATACTTCCTCTTCTCTGTATGGTCTTACCCCCAGCTACCTATGGCTCAGCGTATCTCCCTAAACAGACACAATGAATCTTTCCCCTCCGCAGACATGGAGCCCCCTTCACTGGTCTGGCTCGGGGTGCGGCACCACACAGTGCTTTCTCCCAGTATCAGTTAGATTTTAGTGCTCTGATCAGCTCAACCAAAGTTCTGTCCAGGCTAGTACAAAGTGTTTGAGGCTTAGGAAGCAAGGATAGAATGAGGCTTTCCAGTTTTTTGAGTGGCTGGCTGTTGGGAAAAGTGACTCGTCTTGCATTTTGGTAAGGAAACTGAAGAACAGAATCTTCTAAAGCTTTGGCAGCTCCTCCAGAACTTCTCCCAGGACTCTCAACAAAGACCATCTACTCACCTTCAAGATAGGTTCTGACCAGCTCATCTTGGGACTTTAGTGACCACTGCACAACTAATAAGTCCTAGTGACTTTTACTTTTAACTCTCAACATAATCAACATAGATGCAGGACAGTCTTGGGCCTCCAATCAAAAACTGTCACTGGTGGGAAAAGAAACTAAGTAAATACTGCATAAAACTAAAAGGCATGTTGGTAGCCAGCAAAGTGAGTAAGGTCGAGTGGCTCTTAATTGGCCAAAGGATGGGAACCGGGTTAGAAAAGCAAAGTTCTGAGGCTATCACAGGGACTAACAGCACCCTCCTTCCACCCCCCAAAAAAGGAAGCAAAAGGTACCAGGAAGTGGACAGTGTGGCATGTGAGGAGAGCAAGTTGAATTGTGATGAAACTCATTCACAGTACCAGTCCCCGCCAAGCAGCTGTGGCTTTCAACACTTGTGAAACAAACCAATCTGTTACCAAAATGGTAGCTTTCACACCAACCCTCTCTCTAGTTACTCTGTAGCTAGATACAAGAAAGAAATACAGAAGAAATGCTTATCTAACAATGGGATTTTAAATGACAGTTTTCTAATGTTATAAATTATTACCTAAAGGGAAAACAAATTGATTATTTGTCTCCTCATTTAGATACCAAGCAGGGTACACTGAAGTCAGATTTGTTACTGTTGTTCAGTAGATTTTCAGTCACGTCCAACCCTTCCTGACCCCTTTGGGGTTTTCTGGGCAAAGATACTGGAGTGGTTTGCCATTGCCTTCTCCAGCTCATTTTACAAATGAAGAAACTGAGACAAACAGGGTTAAATGACTTGCTCAGGGTCACACAGCTAGTGAGTATCTGAGCCAGACTTGAACTCAGGGAGAGGCGTCTTCCTGATTCCAAGCTGACTTCAGTTGATCAGTTTGAATAGAGTATTTTTTAAATACTTGGCTGTGGGCCTGATCACATAGCCTAGAATCACTGCCTCCAAAGTTCCAGTTCCTACCATAACATCAGTTCACTGATGGTTAATTGTCTAATTGATAACTGTTCAGTTCTCCCAACCAAGAAAAGACAGAATTGATTCTGTATGTGTGTGTGTGTGTGTGTGTGTGTGTGTGGTGGTTGTACAGAAATGATCCTGTGAAAATAGTGAAAAAAGCTATAGTGAAAAGAATCATGAGAAAGAACTCTGGGGGAGTAAAGGTACCACACATATGCTAAAGACGAAGCAGACTTCCTCTAGTGACTGAAGGAAGATGTAGGGATGGACAGCTAGATGGCGACCTGAAAAAAACAGGCTACAGATGTGACAGGCTGTGACAAAGGCTACTTTTATAGGTTTGAGATACCATTTCAGATGCACAACACAGGTGGCCACTGCCTGCAAGCTCTCAAGACAGAGAGCAGAGGATCAAAATTTGAGCAAATTTGACAGCTTAGAGGACAGGCTGGCACCTGACTGAGCTGGGATCTGCCAAGCCCTGTGAACTTTGACAAGTCATTTAATTTTTGTGAGTATCAGTACTGGACTAAATGATCGCTAGGGCCCCTTGCAGCTCTAAATCCTGGGAGTCCATAATCCCCACCAGTCGGGAGGCACCTCTCCAGGGCTCCTGCGGGGAGGGGGGACAAAGCTGGCAAGCCCCCTCGGACATCTGTGCCTTTATTATCGGGTTGGGGGGATTCCTAGGGATGTATGGTGAGAGGAACCCTAATCTGATAGGAAAAGACTGGGAGATCAGCTGGGTGACCTTGGGCAAGCCGATTCCCTCTCTGGGCCTCAGTTTGTTCATCTGTCAGTTAAGGGCGTTAGACACGATGATGATGATGATGATGATGATGATGATGATGATGATGATGATGATAAAGTGCTGGGGTTGGGGGGTTTGAGGCTCACAGGCCCCCCACCCCCCCAGCAAAACTCTGGGAGGTGAGGAAACGGGCTTCGAAATGGAGAAGGCAGGTCCCTGCCCCCGGGAGCCCGGCCCGGAGAGCCAGAGCCAGGCAGGGGCGGCGCAGCGGAGATTCGAACCCGCGGCTCGGGACCCTGCGCGGGCCTCGGCCGGCACCCACCTGCCTCGTCCGGGCCGTCCTCGCTCACGCTCACGGCCGCGGCCTCGTCGTCGTCCTCGTCGTCCCCGCAGACGCGGGGCGGCCCCGCACCCCAGCTGCCCCCGGGCCGCGGCGGGGCCTCGGCCGCCCCGTCGCCGTCCTCT